ATTGTTTATGTGATACCATAGCTATCATATGCAAAAAAGAATGTCACATTATTCAAAAAGAAAATAAATCAAAATTCCAGTCAATCAGCCAAGTGTTCCCTGTTTCAATGATACAACTGAGTACCGACTACGTACGAGGCACTGGGATGCACCGGTGAATGTCGTGTGTAGACACAGCCCTGCCCTCATGGTGTCTGCTTGCTGCTGCTACTGTTGGGTGATGGAGTGAATACTGATTAAAACGTCAGCCAGGCGCGGTGGCTCACGCCTGTAAACCCAGCACCTTGAGAGGCCGAGGTGGATCAGGAGTTCAAGACCAGCCTGACCAACATGGAAAAACCCCATCTCTACTAAAAATACAAAATTAGCCAGGCCTGGTGGCCCATGCCTGTAATCCCAGCTACTTGGGAGGCTGAGGCAGGAAAATTGCTTGAACCTGGGAGATGGAGGTTGCAGTGAGCCAAGATTGCAGCATTGCACTCTAGCCTGGGCAACAAGAGAGAAACCCCATCTCAAAAAAAAAAAAAAAGAAAAAGAAAAAGAAAAAAATCAATATTTATTGAGTAAAAAAAAAATACCCACAATGTAATTTACCATATTAAAAACAACAGGATAATCTTCACTGACACAAAGAAAGCATCTGAAGAAAATATCTAACATCCGTTCCTAACAAGAACTCTCAGCAAGCTCTGAATAGGTGGCAACTGCCTGGGCCTGACAATATATAGGAAAATCCTGCAGGTAACATACACTGATCTTTAGGGAGAAAGCATTCAGTCTTCCGCCATTAACAATAGTTGTTTGCTTTCACCAACTCTGTTCAACTTTGTTCTGGAATTCCAGCCAGTTCAACAGGGTGACACACACACACACACTCACGCACACACACTCACACTCATGGCATCCAGATAGAAAATGAAGAAGTGAGGATTATCTTTATGTGCAAAAAATTTAACAGTATCAAGCCGGGTGCGGTGGCTCAAGCCTGTAATCCCAGCACTTTGGGAGGCCAAGGCGGGTGGATCACGAGGTCAGGAGATCAAGACCATCCTGGTCAACATGGTGAAACCCCGTCTCTACTAAAAATACAAAAAATTAGCTGGGCATGGTGGCGCACGCCTGTAATCCCAGCTACGCAGGAGGCTGAGGCAGGAGAATTGCCTGAACCCAGGAGGCGGAGGTTGCGGTGAGCCGAGATTGCGCCATTGCACTCCAGCCTGGGTAACAAGAGCGAAACTCCGTCTCAAAAAAAAAAAAAAAAGAAAAGAAAAAATTTAACAGTATCTACAAAAAGCTGCCAGAAATAAGTGAATTTAGAAAGTATGATATTGTAAAATATGTTTTGTCTTCTTCCCATTTCCTGACATACAGTTCCTAAAAAGCCTTGGAATCTCCAGAATGATACGAGTTCACTGGTGGCTGAGGGGCCCTAGACAGCTTCAGGATGAGGGGCTGTCACTGGGAAGATCAAGGCATGTTAGAAGGTTGGGACTTTCAGCCCACCCCAGCCTCTGGGGAGGGGAGACGCACTGAAGAACTGGGAAGTGTTCTCACCAGTAGCCAACGATGTAATCAGTCATGGCTCTATAATGAGGCTTCCAGAAACACCCAAAAAGACTGCGTTCAGAGAGCCTCCTTCGGGCTGGCAAACATATCTGCCTGCCAGGAGAAGGGGACACCCCAACTCCACAGGAACAGAAGCTTCTGCCCTCGGGACCCCTCCCAAGCTCGGCCTGTGCACCTCTTCATCTGGCTCTTCATCTGCACCCACTACTACATCCTTTATTAACAAGCCAGAACCATAAATGAAGTGTTTTCCCGAGTTCTGTGAGCCACTCTACAAATTCATCCAACCCAGAAGGGGATCATGGGAGCCCCAATTTATAGCCAGCTGGACAGGAGCACAGACCACGCCTGGTCCTGGGATCAGTATCTAAATGGGGGGGTGTCTTGTGGGACTGAGCCCTCACCCTGTGGGGTCTGAGGTCACTCCAGGTGAACAGCGTCAAGATGGAGTTGAATAGGGGACCCTCCACTGCTGTCCCCTGCAGAACCTGCTGGGGAATTACTCGGTGTGTGGGGAAAACCCCACTCACCTAGTCATGGAGTGTTGAGTGACTGTGACGGTAGAAAGTAGGAGAAACCCATTATCTGGATTCCTACAGAAAGGTTTTAGGATAAAAGATATAGTAGCACCAAACAATTAAAAATTGACATTTAGAGCTGGGCACGGTGGGTCACGCCTGCAATCCCAGCACTTTGGGAGGCCGAGGCAGGTGGGTCACTTGAGGTCAGGAGTTCAAGACCAGCCTAGCCAACATGGTGAAACCCTGTCTCTACTAAAAATACAAAAACTAGCAGGGCATGGAGGTGCACAGCTCTTAATCCCAGCTACTCAGGAGGCTGAGGCAGGAGAATCGCTTGAACCTGGGAGACAGAGGTTGCAGTGAGCCAAGATCATATCACTGCACTCCAGTCCGGGCAGCAGAGCAAGACCCCACAGGATGCAGCTCAGTCCCACAAGACGGACCCCTTCAGATGCCGATCCCAAGTCCAGGCATGGTCTGTGCTTCCATCCAGCTGGCTACAAACTGGGGCTCCCATGACCCCCTCCTCAGGTTGGGTTAATTTGTAGGGTGTCTCATAGAACTCAGGGAAACACTTCATTTATGGTTCTGGCTTATTTTTAAAACTTGACATGTAATAAGCAATACCACTTATAACATCACGAAAAGACACGAAATACAATCATCCCTCAGTGCATGCAGGGCACAGGCTCCAGGACCCCTGGCGTATATCCTGTCTGTGCATGCTCAAGCCCCACAGCTGGACCTGTGAAACCTGCATGGCCCTCTGTACACATGGGTTTTGTGTCCTGAGAATACTGTATTTTAGATCTGAGTCAGGGAAAAAAATGCATGTATAAGTGGACCTGTGCAGTTCAAACCATGTTGCTCAATGGTCAGCTGTGCTGGCAGTAAGGGGGGCCCTGTGAGATGCGCCAGGGAGCTGGGAGGAGCACCGGGAGCACGCCTGGATCTGCAGGGAGGAGAGGCCGAGAGGCTCCCCTGAGGGTGCTCGGCACAGACATGGGGCAGGATGAACCGCCATGTCGGGGGGCGGCCAGGACGAGGCTGGGGATTGCGCGTGGGACCCACATGGAGGAGGCTGGGGGAGGAAGGGGAGATGGGAGGAGGGAGGAAGAAGGGGAGGTATGGGAGAGGGAAGAAGGGTCACAGAGGAGCCAGTGGGATGCGAGGTGAGCCAGAGGCAGGGCCCCGGAGCCGAGTGGATAGAAGTGAGGCCCAGTTGGATGATGCTGATGGGTCTGGACAGTGTCCAGTTCCTTCAAAGACCCCAGCAGCAAGGAGAAGAACATGAGTGCTTAGGCCCCTAACTGTCCCTAGGAGCACTCCCTTCCAGATCCTTCTCACAGAACGATTCTCACTGTAACACACCCCAATTAAAGCCCGTGGCGGGGGGAGCTTGGAAGGGGCCACCTAGCTTGGCAGCCCTCCAGCCCCTCCCCCAGCACTCAAATTCGCTTAACACCAGGCTTCACCATCAACGCCATCAACAAAAAAGCACACAGGCCACAGAGCACATCACGGGAACAAAGCCCCTTCCCACAGGCTGCCACGAGGGGCAGCATCGGTCCCCCTTCCCCACTGGTGGAAACACGGGCAGGCCCAGCACCTCTCCTGCGTGGCTCCAGGGCCCCCAGCACCTGTCCCCTGGGCAGAAGTTTCTTCTAACCTGAGCTCCTCAGGGCGGGGACTCTCCCCACCCACAGAGGCTGTCCCTAGAGGGGCCCAGGACATCTGTTGGAACATCTGAACACACAGGATGGGGGGCTGCCACTGAACAGCCCAAAAGAGAGCCCAGAGCCTGATCTGGCCAGAAAAGCTGTCCTGGCCCCACACAGAGCCCTAACGCTGCTGAGTCCCCCCCATGGCAGGGTCAGGCCCAGGGCTGGGCTACAGCCAGCTTGGCCACTATGCAGGAGCCCCCCGGGTGGGACCCTCAGGACCACAGTGACACAGTGATGGCCTCCCCCTGTTGGGGGAGCACGTGTCAGCCCCCACCTCCCACGGCTGCAAGGATTCAGCAAGACCCTGTGGGTAGAACACGCGAAGAATATTCTGGAACTTTGCGAAAATCCATCATCGTCACTTGATAAAACTGCACCACGATTAGGCCGGGCGCGGTGGCTCAAGCCTGTAATCCCAGCACTTTGGGAGGCCGAGGCGGGTGGATCACGAGGTCAAGAGATCCAGACCATCCTGGTCAACATGGTGAAACCCCGTCTCTACTAAAAATACAAAAAATTAGCTGGGCATGGTGGCGCGTGCCTGTAATCCCAGCTACTCAGGAGGCTGAGGCAGGAGAATTGCCTGAACCCAGGAGGCGGAGGTTGCGGTGAGCCGAGATCGCGCCATTGCACTCCAGCCTGGGTAACATGAGTGAAACTCCGTCTCAAAAAAAAAAAAAAAAAAACTGCACCACGATGTTTGCTGTTGTGCTGGAAATGCCTCTGAATGCTTGGTGCGCTGGGAAGAAAACCTTGGCCAGGATATTTTTAGCAGCAGCTTCCAGGGCCATCTCTCAATTACGCAGCAGATGCCGGCAGCGCCGTGAGTCAGCGTTGGAGTGTGACCGCCACATGGTACCCGAGCTCTGCATGAGCACCCGGGCAGGCCCACCCCTCCCACACCAGCTGCTCCCGGGCTCAGAAGCCGGCTCTCTCTGCACCCCCTGCCCCCGCTCCCCCAGCTTCTGCTCCCCAAAGCGTCCCATGCTGTTCCTCGCTTCCAGCCCAGCTGTCCACTCCGCACATCCCACCCAGATGGTCCTTCTTCCCGGGCCTGGCTTCTCTAGCACCTGACCCAGAGAACGCCACCACAGGGGGCCAGCAGGTGACAAAGCCTCCCTCTACTGAGGACTGGCCACTCTGTCCAACGCCCAGCGGGGCCAGCCAGCCTCTGCTGCCCATGGCTCACCTGGCAGGAGCGGAACTGGCTAACCAGCAGCGTGCACCGCTGGGGGTCCTTCCGCCCGTCCAGGCTGTCCAGCTCCGCGGCCACCTGGTTCAGCTCCTCGTCGGCGTAGTAGAACCGGGCAAGCAGCTGCGGGTCCGACCTCTGCAGGAGAGAGGGGCCGGGGGCGTGAGTGGGTGGGTAACTGGAGGGGATGCCTCGCCATGTGCGGGCTCAGCCTGGGACCTTCCACGCTGAGCAGTAGCTGGCTCTTTCATCAGCTTTCTAGGCCAGGATCTGGAGGGAAACAGCTAAAGCTGAGGCTCAGGCTGCCTTCTCAAGCATCCTGTCCCTGACCCAAGCGTCCCAGGCCCCCTGCATTTCACCCCAGGGCTGTGTGGAATCCAGACACTTCGCTACACCCAAGACACAAGATCCTCACGCTCCCTCTCGTGGAGGAGAACCCACAAAAAGGGGGCTCTGGGAGGAGTGGGGTCCCAGGCGAGCCCGAGGCAAGCAGCTCTTAGGGAATTTTTTTTTTTTTTGAGATGGAGTTTTACTCTTGTTGCCCAGGCTGGAGTGCAATGGCACAATCCCAGCTCACTGCAAACCCTGCCTCCCAGGCTCAAGCGATTCTCCTGCCTCAGCCTCCCAAGTAGCTGGGATTACAGGCGCCCACTACCACATCTGGCTAATTTTTGTATTTTTAGTAGAGATGGGGTTTCACTGTCTTGGTCAGGTCTCAAACACTCCTGACCTCATGATCTGTTTACCTTGGCCTCCCAAAGTGGTGGGATTACAGGCGTGAGCCATCGTGCTTGGCATATATATATATTTTTTTTTTTTTTTGAGACAGGGTCTTGCTCTGTTGCCCACGCTGGAGTACAGTGGCATGAGCATGGCTCACTGCAACCTCTGCCTCCTGGGCTCAAGAGCTCCTCCTGCCTCAGCCTCCTGAGTAGCCGAGACTATAGGCACAGGCCAGTACATTCCGCTCATTTTTAATTTTTTCTAGAGTTGGGGTCTCCTTGTGTTGCCCAGCCTTGTCTTGAACTCCCGGCCTCAAGCAGCTCTCCCATCTTGGCCTCCCAAAGTTGCTGAGATTATAGAAGTGAGTCACCGTGCCTGGCCTGAACCTACTTTTATCAAAGGGCCTCCTGGCAGTCACAGAGAGAAAGTCAGAGGAGAGGGGAGGGTGCCACATCACGCCCAGTGGGAGGCGCTGCCCGTGTCCCACAGACTCCCGTCTCCGTTGGGCCCTTTCCTCCGTGTGCTCTGGCCTGCTGCCCTCCCCTTCCCTCTGTGTGGCCTTGGCCAGGGTCACTTTGTCCTGACTTTTTCCTGGTCCACCAGTCCTCACTCTCTGGATCAGCTCCAGACGCTGGCCCAGACCCCTGGGGTGGGGAGTGCAAACCCCAGTCAGGCTGAGCAGACCCGCACTCGGCCATCCACTGCCCCGCCTGGGCTTCAGCAATGCCACTTGCACTGGTGACCTGGGCAGCCAGTGGGACGCCTCCCCAGGACCGGGACCGTTCCCAGGAGGCTGCCGAAGCCTCTGCACTCACTCGCTCACTGGCAGATGCTGCCTGCGTGCCCACTCGGCTAGGGGCGGATCTGGGCCTGGGACACAGCCCTGAGCAAGACAGACCCAGACCCCATGCGGCGCGTCAGAGTTGGCAGGCGGGTGCGGGCTGCCGTCTGCTCCCGCCCTCTCAGCTCTACTGCTGTGTCCCCGGCCTCGAGCCTTTCTGGAAGTAAACACATCCCCTCCGATGGCCCAGCCAACCTCGGAGAGCCACGAGGTCACAGTCACCTAGTGACCCACCCTCTGTGAAGAAATGGGAAGAAGAGTGGGGTTGGGAGGCAGGAGACACTCTTACCTCGTTCTGCTCTACTGCCTGGAAGGAAAGAAAGGGACACAGGGAACATGAGACCCAAAGGCCCCTCCCAGCCCTTCCACTGGGTTGGAGCCCCAGGGGATGCTGTGCCTTCTAGGCCTTGTAGCCATCAACTTACAGATAAGCAACTTTGCCCTTGACCTTTGCCTCGGATGCAGCCCCCATCCTTCCTTTTTTTTTTTTTTAGATGGAGTCTCATTCAGGCCAGAGTGCAGTGGCGCGATCTCAGCTCACTGCAAGCTCCACCTCCCGGGCTCAAGCAATCATCCTGTCTCAGCCGCCCAAGTACCTGGAATTACAAGTGTGCGCCACCACATCCAGCTAATTTTTGTATTTGTAGTAGAGACAGGGTTTCACCATGTTGCCCAGGCTGGTCTCGAACTCCTGACCTCAAATGATCCACCTGCCTGGGCCTCCCAGGGATTACAGGCATGAGCCACTGTGCCTGGCCCAGTCCCCAGAATCCTGACCCGGCTTCTGGGATGGCCACCAGCTTCCCCTCCTGGGCCCAGGGCCTGCCAATGCCCCTCCTCGCTCCCAAGGAAGAGGGGAAGAATCAAGAATAGCACCTTTTTACCAGAGGACAGAAGAGCCTTCCAGCCACTTCTGGAACCAGGAGGGAGCACAGCCCCTTTGCAAGGTGGGGCTGAACTGGCAGCCTGCCCAAGGCCTGCGTGAGAACCGCTGGGCCTGACGCCCAGCTCAAGCAGCAGTCCAGGTCACCAGAGCCACCGGCTTCCTTCTGGCCCCAAACCTGCCAGCTCCCTTCATAGCAGAAGCAGGAGGGTGGGAGAAGCAGGGGCCTGGAGGGGCCGGCCCCGCAGCAGATGCCTGGCTGTGACTACACTGCACCGGGGCCCTCACAGTCCCTCGCCAGCCGCATGCGTCCCACAGCCCCGACCGCAGCTTGCTGATGAGACACCATCTGGCCCGGCAAACAGGCCAGGTACTGAATCTAGGGCACTGCATGACGACACCTCCCAGAAGCTAAATCTCGGCTCCAAGAAAGAGGACACGACAAGGGGCCCCACAGAAACCCCCAGAAAGAACCCAGAATCATTTGCTGTGGCACCAAAAACCTCACACCACCTAAGGAGTTCACAACAGCACCCAGGTCAACACGGCCCCTTGCTGTCAGGCAAACAGAGGAGACGGCTCAGCCACAACGCAGGTGCGTGAAAGGCTGATGGCAGCATGGTGCCGTCACGCAAAGCCCCGGACCAAAGAGGGGACTGAGGCTCTGAGCACAGAGCGTGGTGCACACACGTCCCCTCAGCTCAAAAACGCAGTTCCTCTCCTGTGCCCTGGAGAGGCCGAGAACCACCATGTGTGTGAGCACATGAACACGTACATGTGAGTGCACATGTGTACAGTACATGTATGCCCCATGCATGGCTGTGTGCATGTGGATCTGTGCGCTGTGCATGTGTGTGTACATGCACGTGCACCTATGTATCTGTGTGCCTGTGAAGGTGTGTGCAGGTGTGAACACGCGTGCGTGTGTGAACGTGCCCTTGTAGGACCAGTACCGCAGGTATCAAGATGAGCTCCCACAGGAGTGAGGTGTGTGTCTACTTGGCAAGGTAAAAGCTAGAAAGGGGTGCTCATCACCAAAATAAAAGGCATGGGAAGTAGGGAACCCTTCAGGGATGGGCCCGGTACTTGACCCCTCCTGGCCCTGGCTCGTTATTGGGGATGCTTGGTGCCCCTGCAGGGAAACCGATTCCCTGCTGCAGAAGGCAGCCTGTGTGTCTCCTGTGAGGAAGGAAGCGGCCCTGCCTTCCTCTCTCGGGGCAGCTGAAGCCTCTGAAAGGTGTCCCATGGAGCTAAGGTGTCACTGAGCACAGGGGCTGCACTGCCAGGGATGCTCGCTGGAGGGTGGGCCTGGTGGCGGATGAGGCAGATTTGCTGTGTGACCTTATCATGGGCTAAACTGTGACTGCCCCACAAGTTCAAAGATTGAAGTCCTAACCCCCTGGACTCAGAATGTGACTGTGTTTGGAAACAGTGTCTCCCCATTTTTTTTCTTTGAGGTAGGGTCTGGCTCTAACCCCCCAGGCTAGAGTACAGTGGCGTGATCACAGCTCACTGCAACCTTGCCCCCTGGGTTCAAGTGATCCTCCCTGAGTAGCCAGGAGGCCAGGTAGGGGCCACTACACCCTGTCAATTTTTGTATTTGTTGTAGAGACAGGGTTTTGCCATGTTGCCCGGACTTGTCTGGAACTCCTGGGCTCCAGCGAGTCATCTGCCTCAGCCTCCGAAAGTACAGGGATTACAGGTGTGAGCCACCTAGCCCAGCCCAGAGATAGGATCTTTAAAGAGGTCATTACGGGGCCCGGCCTCAGAGGGACCCGGTCTCAGAGGGACCTGGCCTCAGAGTGACCCAGCCCTGCCACACGGTGGTCTTAGACTTTTGGCCTCCAGGACTGAGGGAAGAGAAATTCCTACTGTTCCAGCCACCAAGTCTGGAGTCCTTTCTTGTGGCCGCCCAAACTGTGTGGAAGGCCCAGGAGCAGGCTGGGGAGTCAGCCCTCACCCAGAGCTCCCCCACCCCATGCCATGCAGGAGGGCCCGGGAGCCCGGACACCCACTTAGCAAACCCTGCCAGATGACCCTTCTCCAAGGTATAACCCCAAATCTGTGGGCCTGTACCACTCTGAGGAAGCTGCTCTTGGAGTGGGCTCCAGCTTCCCTGAAAGACCTGGGGACCCCCAAACATCCCAGAAGGACAGACCCCCCTTAGGCCTTGGACCCAAGCCTTAGATCCTTTACCCACCCCAAGCAAGTACACGTGTCTACAACAACCTGTGAGGCCATTCGTGGTTCTCTGTGATTTGAGGAGGCCTCCATGATGTCTGCAGCATGGGCTCTGATGGTATAATTGCCTGTACGCGGGAAAGGGGCATCCTGAACAGCGTGTCCAAAGCCACCACGCCCGAGAACAGGGAAGGAAGCACTGGGCATCTCCACAATCCAGGAGAAACAACACTCGCCACACCCCACCTTGTGCCATCCCACAACAGGCACCGCAGTCACACTGCTGATGACATGGCATCAGTGCCCACAAGCAGACGCCCTGCTGCTTTACCTTGATTTTCGTAAAGACCTTAAAACCAGACCTACGAAGGTGTTGACCGTCTGCAAAAAGAGAGCTGTAATCATACACACTCCCACACACACACACACACACACACACACACACAGGCATGCACACACACAGGCACACACACACACAGAGGCACACACACACACACACAGGCATGCGCG